ACAGTACTCTACACGTCTCCTTGCGACAGTACTCTACACGTCTCCTTGCGACAGTACTCTACACGTCTACATTGCGACAGTACTCTACACGTCTCCTTGCGACAGTACTCTACACGTCTCCTTGCGACAGTGCTATACACGTCTCCTTGCGACAGTGCTCTACACGTCTCCTTGCGACAGTACTCTACACGTCTCCTTGCGACAGTACTCTACACGTCTCCTTGCGACAGTACTCTACACGTCTCCTTGCGACAGTACTCTACACGTCTCCTTGCGACAGTACTCTACACGTCTCCTTGCGACAGTACTCTACACGTCTCCTTGCGACAGTACTCTACACGTCTCCTTGCGACAGTGCTCTACACGTCTCCTTGCGACAGTGCTCTACACGTCTCCTTGCGACAGTGCTCTACACGTCTCCTTGCGACAGTACTCTACACGTCTCCTTGCGACAGTACTCTACACGTCTCCTTGCGACAGTACTCTACACGTCTACAATGCGACAGTACTCTACACGTCTCCTTGCGACAGTGCTCTACACGTCTACAATGCGACAGTACTCTACACGTCTCCTTGCGACAGTACTCTACACGTCTACAATGCGACAGTACTCTACACGTCTCCTTGCGACAGTACTCTACACGTCTACAATGCGACAGTGCTCTACACGTCTCCTTGCGACAGTGCTCTACACGTCTCCTTGCGACAGTATATGAGTCTCCACACTGTCACTTGATCACACATTGTTTCAGACAATAAAACAGAATTCCTCTCAAGGCTGAGGGACTGACAACCCAGTCTACGCCTTCCAGGGTGATGGACTGATTACATCGTCTTCACATCTCTACTGCTTGTACCTACTTTCTGTACTCTACAGAAGAAGCCTGCTGTGTAGGTGATATGTTTCGTAATAAAGTTTCCTAACGGATGCCCATGTGTCTAACTTACCAACCTGTGGGTATTGTCTTGACTAGCACATCAGAACTGTCTAGTTTGGTACATCGGAACTGTCTAGTTTGGTACATCAGAAGTGTCTAGTTTGGTACATCGGAACTGTCTAGTTTGGTACATCAGAACTGTCTAGTTTGGTACATCAGAACTGTCAAGTTTGGTACATCAGAACTGTCTAGTTTGGTACATCACAACTGTCTAGTTTGGTACATCACAACTGTCTAGTTTGATACATCAGAACTGTCAAGTTTGATACATCACAACTGTCAAGTTTGATACATCAGAACTGTCTAGTTTGGTACATCAGAACTGTCTAGTTTGGTACATCGGAACTGTCAAGTTTGATACATCAGAACTGTCTAGTTTGGTACATCACAACTGTCAAGTTTGATACATCAGAACTGTCAAGTTTGATACATCACAACTGTCAAGTTTGATACATCAGAACTGTCTAGTTTGATACATCAGAACCTGTCTAGTTTGGTACATACCAGAACTGTCAAGTTTGATCATCAGAACTGTCAAGTTTGATACATCAGAACTGTCAAGTTTGATACATCAAACTGTCAAGTTTGCTACATCAGAACTGTCAAGTTTGATACATCAAACTGTCAAGTTTGATACACAGAACTGTCTAGTTTGTACATCAGAACTGTCAAGTTTGATACATCAGAACTGTCAAGTTGATACATCAGAACTGTCAAGTTTGATACATCAGAACTGTCAAGTTTGATACATCAGAACTGTCAAGTTTGATACATCAGAACTGTCAAGTTTGATACATCAGAACTGTCAAGTTTGATACATCAGAACTGTCAAGTTTGATACATCAGAACTGTCTAGTTTGATACATCAGAACTGTCTAGTTTGGTACATCAGAACTGTCAAGTTTGATACATCAGAACTGTCTAGTTTGGTACATCAGAACTGTCAAGTTTGATACATCAGAACTGTCAAGTTTGATACATCAGAACTCTCAAGTTTGATACATCAGAACTGTCTAGTTTGGTACATCAGAACTGTCAAGTTTGATACATCAGAACTGTCTAGTTTGGTACATCAGAACTGTCAAGTTTGATACATCAGAACTGTCTAGTTTGGTACATCAGAACTGTCAAGTTTGATACATCAGAACTGTCTAGTTTGGTACATCAGAACTGTCAAGTTTGATACATCAGAACTGTCTAGTTTGGTACATCAGAACTATCAAGTTTGATGCATCAGAACTGTCAAGTTTGATACATCAGAACTGTCAAGTTTGATACATCAGAACTGTCTAGTTTGGTACATCAGAACTGTCAAGTTTGATGCATCAGAACTGTCAAGTTTGATACATCAGAACTGTCAAGTTTGATACATCAGAACTGTCTAGTTTGATACATCAGAACTGTCAAGTTTGATACATCAGAACTGTCTAGTTTGGTACATCAGAACTGTCTAGTTTGATACATCAGAACTGTCTAGTTTGGTACATCAGAACTGTCTTGTTTGAGGTAATCAGTCCCTCAGCCTTGAGTCTGAGGGACTGACTGCCTCAGATTCCTTCTGATCCTCACCATTCATCTTCGTACTGACTGATAAAGTCACTGTGGGGCGACATATTACCACATGTTGCACAAACGTCTACTTCACCAATAGCAAAATTACCCACAAAATATTCTTTAAGTGGACACAAATATACCTAATGATGACGTTTCATTGTGGCAACGTTTCGCCCGATGACGCTCCTGGAGGGCGATATGTTAACACAATACAATGTCGCATTAGATGTGTCATTTACCCAATAATTGATGCAGTATTTACTAGACGATTATTATTAATGATATTCCTTCGCTGCGTATTAATTAGTGGGTTAATAACCCTAGTGAGATCGTTAGCTTATTAACCCAATTAACCAACCAATTATTAAGCTAATTATTAACCCAATTATTATCCCAGTTATTAAACTAAATATTAACCCAATTATTAACCAGATATTAACCCAATTATTATTAACCTAATTATTATTATTATTTTTATTATTACAACCTGACCGCGGGGGCGTTGACCCCCGAAGGCCTTTCCAGGTATACTCGGGGAATTAACCAATCACGGCAGGAATCCCCTGACGATATCCCTCCTGGGAAGAACTCGAAATAATGGATTCGGATTGGATAATTTCACATTTAGTAATGCCCTGGGGAAGTACTGGAGGTCGGGACTGTCTGAAACCCTAGCGTTTATAGTGTATAATGGAAAATTATAGACAAATACTGTGATAAATGAGACTCTTTGGCACCATTTGGCTGTGGAAATATAAACGCATATGCAGTATAATGTGATCCTTTATTGACTACGTTTCGCTCACACAGTGGGCTTTTTCAAGTCACAACAGAACTACCTGGGGTGGAAGGAACGCGAGTATTTATAGACAGGTTCAGAATGCTGAGGTCAGGTGGAGAATGCTGCATCTGATGATGTACCGAGTGGGGTTATAGAGTCTAAAATCTTGGGTAGCTTGGAAAGGAGATTGGATAAGTTTGTGAGCAGACCTTCTACAGTGTTCTTATGTGGGATAGCGATGAAGAAGAATCCTGGAATCATCACTTATTTCTATATCCGACAACTTCAACCAGAATAGTGGCTTCTATAACATAGCTGAACCATAAACACAAATGCAGTATAATGTGATCCTTTATTGACAACGTTTCACCCACACAGTGGGCTTTCTCAAGTCACACACGGATCTACCTGGGGTTGGAAGGTACGAGAGTATTTATAGTCAGAATGTTGAGGTCAGGTGAAGAATGCTGCATCTGATGATCCACCGGGTGGGGTTATAGAGTCTTGGGTAGCTTGGCAGGGGTATTGGACAAGTTGTAGACCTTCTGCAGTGTTCTATGTTCTTATGTGGGATAGCGATGAAGAAGTTTCTTGGCGAGTGGTTCAGCTATGTTATAGAAACCATTGTTCTGGTTGAAATTGTTGGTTATAGAGATAAGCGATGATTCCAGGATTCTTCTGTATTGAGTGTTGTCTTCTGTGGCTATAAGTCTTGAGTTTCTGTAGTTAATTAAATGGTTGTGTGAATTGCGATGCTGTACACAGGCATTCCTTGTATCGATGTGATGAATGGTTTGAAAAACCTTGTATCGTCAGTCCTGCTTGCATATTGGTGTTCTGAAATGCGTGTTTGGAGGTCTCTTGATGTTTCGCCTGTGTACAGCATCGCAATTCACACAACCATTTAATTAACTACAGAAACTCAAGACTTATAGCCACAGAAGACAACACTCAATACAGAAGAATCCTGGAATCATCGCTTATCTCTATAACCAACAATTTCAACCAGAACAATGGTTTCTATAACATAGCTGAACCACTCGCCAAGAAACTTCTTCATCGCTATCCCACATAAGAACATAGAACACTGCAGAAGGTCTACAACTTGTCCAATACCCCTGCCAAGCTACCCAAGACTCTATAACCCCACCCGGTGGATCATCAGATGCAGCATTCTTCACCTGACCTCAACATTCTGACTATAAATACTCTCGTACCTTCCAACCCCAGGTAGATCCGTGTGTGACTTGAGAAAGCCCACTGTGTGGGTGAAACGTTGTCAATAAAGGATCACATTATACTGCATTTGTGTTTATGGTTCAGCTATGTTATAGAAGCCACTATTCTGGTTGAAGTTGTCGGATATAGAAATAAGTGATGATTCCAGGATTCTTCTTCATCGCTATCCCACATAAGAACACTGTAGAAGGTCTGCTCACAAACTTATCCAATCTCCTTTCCAAGCTACCCAAGATTTTAGACTCTATAACCCCACTCGGTACATCATCAGATGCAGCATTCTCCACCTGACCTCAGAATTCTGAACCTGACTATAAATACTCGCGTTCCTTCCACCGCAGGTAGTTCTGTTTGTGACTTGAAAAAGCCCACTGTGTGGGCGAAACGTAGTCAATAAAGGATCACATCATACTGCATATGTGTTTATATTTCCATTGTGTCGGTATTTTATACCATTTATTTCCACCATTTGGCTGTCTTTATTCTGGAAACATTCCGTCACACAGTGGCTTTCTTAGTTCAGTGCATAAAAAGGTGGAATAAGAGAAGCCTGGAGTCACTGTAATCAATCCATCAGTATTGAAAAAAAGAATTAGCACGAAGAAATGGCTTGTATACTGTAGACTGGCGAGGTGAAGCAGTCGTAGGTGATATCACAGTGGATAAATCCACATGTGGATGCGTGGAGCAGTCTTCCGAGTAGGGTGATCGAGGCTAGGACCCTGGGTAGCTTTAATAACAGACTGAACAAATATATGCGTGGGAGGGGCTGGTGTGTTTAGTATCGTGGGTACGATCACACGGGAGTAAATTCTTGGGTAGCTTTGGGTGTCGGTGGCATCTTTAATTAATGTAGTCGTTTCGCCATCCAGTGTCTTTATTAATACATATTCAAAGACATAACTGGAAGACAGTAAAACTATATACAAAGAATGAGGAATCAGTCCCTCAGCTTACGGAGTTGGTGTGAAGAACACCTTAGTCGTGAAGATTCTTATAAAAACCTGCCTTGTATGGGCCAGTAGGCCTTCTGCAGTGTCCCTCAATTCTTATGTTCTTAAGTAGGTCATGCCTATACGAATTACGATCCCAAGATGTTGTGTCTAACAGCAACGTAGACACATGATTCAGAGAATCGACGAGTTGATAAATTAGATATATGTATAACACATTTGTATCTTTACTGAGTAAACGTTTCGCCACACAGTAACTTACGAAACACTGGGCGTATTTCCTGACACCTGTTGCCCTTCTTCATCCAGCAGTAAAATGGGTACCTGGGTGTTAGTGGACTGGTGTGGGTCGCATCCTGGGACAAAAGAACTGACCAAATTTGTGGGAAATGCTCTGCATAATCAGCGACTTTATATATACTAGTATGTCATTGATGTCAGCTATGGTCTGTATAAGTTGTATCATGTACTTGTATATATATATATATATACATATATATATTAATATATTATTATATATATATTAGATATATTATATATATATTATATATAATATAATATTTATTATATAATTATAATATGGGGAAGTCGGAACAATTTTCCTCTTCAGCCATGCGTGTTGTAAGGGCAACTAGATGCGGGTGACGGTGGGTAGAACCTGTTACATACTGATTTTACCAAATTGTGGAAAGGAAACTTCGCTTTTTCTCTTTGGCACCGATGTCAGCTATGGTCTGTATAAGTTGTATCATGTATACATATAATATATATAATATTATATATATATAAATATATTATATATATATAATATATATATATATATATATATATATATATATATATATATATATCACATCTCTGTTATTGTATTGCGTCTCACCTCCTGGTATTCCTTCATGGCGAGTCTGAGGGGCGTGTGGGCGTGTGGGTGGCACTTCCTCTGTTACACCTGCACTTGTCAACACTGCTCCACACCTCTCTTCATTATCAACACTTCCATCACTATTTCTACCTCCTCTATCCACTCCTCTCCTTCTCCCTCAGTTATCACGTCCTTCTCTATGCACGCATTTTCCCCAATTTACAGTTTATATCACAGTACACAATACTCATCCACGGGTTACCAAGACCCAGCTTAGTGTATTTCCGGTGTTTTACAGCGTTGCTTGCGCCAGGACCATCGCACGAGGATGCTTCGGCTGGGAAAGACGCACAACGCGCACTAAACGACAGGAAATGGTTGGAAATGGCGTGTGAGAGAGGTAGAAAGTATGAACATCTCTGAGGATTCTGGGATGCTGACTAGCGCGTCCCGGACACACGCGCCCGGACGCGCTCCCCCGTAACCACGCCCCTTCCACGCCCATTCCACTCCCCCTCCACTATTCCTCCTATTTTCCCCATTCTCTCACCATTTACCCCAAACTCTCTAATTGGAAATGTATATCAGGCCACCCTGCAGGGAAGCACGGCCAGAAAAAGCTAAGAAAAAGCACTTTAGGCCGTAATATGTATGATTATCAAAGATTGGCTTTCAACCAACCAGGATGCAGGAAATTTTATGGGCGGAGCTTCTTCTCCGAGGACACTGTTGCCATTTACAAAAAAATCCTCCACCTTTTTTTTTCTTTAAAACCCTTTTCATCAAGACAATATTAATAAAATAAACTCAGGCATCACGAGAAAAAGGAAACTGACAAAATAAAAGTGAATAAAAACAGTTTTTCTTTATTGATTAAGAGGAGAGAGATAAAGACATGGAAACCGGAAGTGGTGTCACTTTCTGGCGGCACTTGGCAACTGTAACTTTGTGGGCGTGGCCTTGACGGGGTGTTAGGGCGCGCGCGCGCGGCAAGTGCGCAGTTCAGGTGCGCTGTTCATCATTTGTACAGTGTGGACCGTATATATTCTTGAGTATATCTGTGTATAATTATTGAAAGTGTGTGTATATGTGAAGGAATGTACACCTCAGTACATGTACATGTGATGTGTACACCCCAGTGTATGTACATGTGTACACCCCAGTGTATGTACATGTGTACACCCCAGTGTATGTACATGTGTACACCCCAGTGTATGTACATGTGTACACCCCAGTGTATGTACATGTGTACACCCCAGTGTATGTACATGTGAGTGTACACCCCAGTGATGTACATGTACACCCCAGTGTATGTACATGTGTACACCCCAGTGTATGTACATGTGACACCCCAGTGTATGTACAGTACACCCCAGTGTATGTACATGTGTACACCCCAGTCTATGTACATGTGAGTGTACACCCCAGTGTATGTACATGTGAGTGTACACCCCAGTGTATGTACATGTGAGTGTACACCCCAGTGTATGTACATGTGAGTGTACACCCCAGTGTATGTACATGTGAGTGTACACCCCAGTGTATGTACATGTGAGTGTACACCCAGTGTATGTACATGTGAGTGTACACCCCAGTGTATGTACATGTGAGTGTACACCCCAGTGTATGTCACATGTGAGTGTACACCCCAGTGTATGTACATGTGAGTGTACACCCCAGTGTATGTACATGTGAGTGTACACCCCAGTGTATGTATATGTGATGTGTACACCCTAGTGTATGTACATGTGAGTGTACACCCCAGTGTATGTACATGTGAGTGTACACCCCAGTGTATGTACATGTGAGTGTACACCCCAGTGTATGTACATGTGAGTGTACACCCCAGTGTATGTACATGTGATGTGTACACCCCAGTGTATGTACATGTGAGTGTACACCCCAGTGTATGTACATGTGAGTGTACACCCCAGTGTATGTACATGTGAGTGTACACCCCAGTGTATGTACATGTGATGTGTACACCCCAGTGAATGTACATGTGATGTGTACACCCCAGTGTATGTACATGTGAGTGTACACCCCAGTGTATGTACATGTGAGTGTACACCCCAGTGTATGTACATGTGAGTGTACACCCCAGTGTATGTACATGTGAGTGTACACCCCAGTGTATGTACATGTGAGTGTTCACCCCAGTGTATTTACATGTGATGTGTACACCCTAGTGTATGTACATGTGAGTGTACACCCCAGTGTATGTACATGTGAGTGTACACCCCAGTGTATGTACATGTGAGTGTACACCCCAGTGTATGTACATGTGAGTGTACACCCCAGTGTATGTACATGTGATGTGTACACCCTAGTGTATGTACATGTGAGTGTACACCCCAGTGTATGTACATGTGTGTACACCCAGTGTATGTATTGTGAGTGTACACCCCAGATGATGAGTGTAACATGTAGAACATGTGAGTACACCCCAGTGTATGTACATGTGATGTGTACACCCCAGTGTATGTACATTTCGATGTGTACACCCCAGTGTATGTACATGTGTGTTCATCTTGGTATATGTACATATGTGTGCATCTTAGTATATGTACATGTGTGTACATCTTAATATATGTGCATGAGAGAGTGTACACCTCAGTATTTATACATGTGAGAGTGTACACCTCAGTGTATGTGCATGTGTGTGTGTGTGCACCCCAGGATATGTACATAAGGAGTGCACACATCAGTATATGTACATGTGTACCTAAGTATATGTACATGTGAGAATATACATCTCAGTATACATGCATATGAAAGAGTGTACACCTCAGTATACGTACAGTGAAGGAGTGTACACAGCATACATACATGCTGGGAAGTGTACAGTATATTTACATAGAGAGAGATGTACACTAGTGTATTACCTACACAAATGTACATTTCTACGATAAGAATACATCTCGATGTACACTTGTACGTGATGTACACCTGTACGTGATGTACACCTGTACGTGATGTACACCTGTACATGATGTACACCTGTACGTGATGTACACCTTGTAACATGTACGGATGTACACCTGTACTGATGTACACCTGTACGTCATGTACACCTGTACATGCATGTACACCTGTACATCTCGAGTCAGAAACTCTAATGTTGACTACAAATTTCACAATATAAATAATATCACGTAACTCCAAGGACACGTACCTCCAAGGCACTATAAGCACTTAGACGTACTTTCAAGGACACGCACCTCTAAAGGGAGGTTTCAAGCCTCTCTACTACACGTAGGTAGCAGTGCTTGTGTGTATAGACGTAGTGAGATACTGATTCCCGTAGATGTTGAGTTGTTGAAGGATCCCTGGAGGAGCCTGGAGGAGACTAGGGATCCCTGGAGGACCCTGAAGGAGACTAGAGATCCCTGGAGGAGCCTAGGGATCCCTGGAGGAGCCTAGGGATCCCTGGAGGAGACTAGGGATCCCTGGAGGACCCTGGAGGAGACTAGGGATCCCTGAAGGAGCCGAGGGTTCCTTGGAGGAGCCTAGTGATCCCTGGAGGAGCCTAGGAATCCCTGTAGAAGTCTAGTATCCCAAGAGAAGCCTATTCCTGGAAAAGCCTAGGACCCCTGTAGACGCCTAGGGATCCCCATAGGAGCCTAGGATCCCCGTTAGGAACCTAGGACTCCTGTATAAGCCTAAGGATCCCCGGAGGAGCCTAGGATCCCCTGAGGAGCCTAGCATTCCAGCGGCAGTGTTTCCTCGCCGTACTTGAAGAAGTGAACGATGGCCTGGACGCTGCTGATGGTGCCAGTAACAAACCCGACGATCCCGAAGATACAAATGACACCTGCCTGAAGATAGTGCCAAGGATATTAGTGTGCCCTCTGTGAGAGTGCCAAGCTGCTGGAGGGCTCCTGATCCTAGGAAATAGAGTTAGCCCACTTGTCATACCCTCAAATGTTGTCATGATCCCGTTATGCTAGTGGGAGAACGATAAAGCAATAAGGGTATACACCGCCTGGTTGATGGGAGGTAATGAGGTTTGATCCAAGGGAAAGGGTAACTCCGGTTCCAAGGATCAAGAGCCCCTGCATTATCATCAAGACGCAGTATGGTAAAAACTGGTCGGATGTAAAAGTTATGTACTCTGGTTTACTGTACTTATCTTCAGATCATCAGTGACAAATTTGATCCTAAAATCAACCATGTTGACCCAATATATCAGTTGTTATCAAGTTTTTATAACTATAAACATCGGCCTGGTTAATGGGGGTTTAAAGACTATCTACTACACCAGGGTCATTAAGGCTGCATGTCACCTGTTCACCACCAGTCAACAATACTTTAATACGTAAAATAGTGATTAATATAAATTATTAGTGTATATAATTGGTTCACATATAACAAAAGTACTGAAATTATATATATAATATATATATATATATATATATATATATATATATATATATATATATATATATATATATATATATATATATATATATATATATATATATATATATATATATATATATATATATATATATATATATATATATATATATGCAGTAAGATGACAGTAAACAGTTAATATCACAATATGCTGAACAACTACTGTGAAAAAATAGTGAAATTCCAAGCGCTTTCGTGACTTCTTACATCTTAACATTAAGATCGACAACACTCTAATTACCAGACATAATGAGGGCAAATTCCTTGGCCTATACCTCGACAACAACCTGAATTTCAGCACCCATATCCAACACATAACCAAAAAAGTATCCAAAACAGTTGGGATCCTCTCCAAGATACGATACTACGTGCCGCAAAATGCCCTTCTCACACTATACCACTCACTTATTTATCCATACCTCACCTATGCTATCTGTGCTTGGGGATCAACTGCAGCAACACACCTAAAGCCAATAATAACCCAACAAAAAGCTGCAGTAAGAATAATCACTAAATCCATCCCTGGCAACACACCCCCCCACTCTTCATAGACCTAAACTTACTCCCTGTTCAGCACATCCACACTTACTACTGTGCAATCTACATCTACAGGACCTTAAATTCCAATATTAACCTTGACCTAAAACGCTTTCTTGATAGTTGTGACAGGATCCACAGGCATAACACCAGACACAAACATCTCTATGACATTCCCCGTGTTCGACTAAACCTTTACAAAAATTCAATGTATTTCAAAGGACTTAAAATCTGGAACACCCTACCTGAAAACTCAAGAACTGCAGACACATTCATCACTTTCAAAACTACAGTTAGAAAACATCTTATCTCCCTGATCCACCCCGACAACTAACTACATGATAACCACCTGGTGGTTCACAATTACACTCACTCACCCACTGACTATAAACCCAGAAATACTAATCTTAAAATAATAAATCCTAACTAGTCATAAGTTTGCCTATGATGCTCCAATATAGACACCTTGTATTGTGCCAAAACAAAAGCATTCACATTGCTAAACTCACAAATTATGATGTAGTCACTTAGCCTTAATACCATAATCTGTAAGGATTTAATGTTAAGAATTAAACTAAGTCTGCTCGAAATACCTAGCCATGCTAGGTGTCCTAGTGGCCCCCTCTGTAATTAGTATTTTATAACATGTAAACCACACAATACCTAAAACCTGTAAACCCCACATTGTAACCCTTATAGAGAATAAACTTGAATTAAGGAACTGTTCCTTGATAATGTGAGAAATCACGAGCACTTGGACGTTCACTATTCATTTTTTCCGTGCATACATACGTATATATACACAGAGTAGGGATGGGGTGTGACTATGGTTCTCACCTTAACAAGGATCCAGTGGTACTTGCCAGTGTTGGGCCAAAAGGTTATCAGCTCAATGATGGGAGGGAATATTAAGGCCAGTGTTGAACTGCTCACTGCTCCGATCAATGAGATGAAGAGTCCGATGTTGGGGATGCTGACAGCGAAGATGACTGTGAGGGAGAGTAAGGGAGATGGATAGAGGGAGGGAGAGAGAGAGTGTAATATACAGTCGTAATTAGTCGTGGTTAGAGATGTATGTGTGTGTGTGTGTGTCTATTTACTCTCACGTATATGTGGTTGTAGGGGTCGAGTCACAGCTCCTGGCCCTGCCTCTTCGCTGGTCTCCACTAGGTCTACTCTCCCCCTTTTCCATGAGCTTTATCATACCTCTTGTTAAAGCTATGTATGTATATATGTGTGCGTGCGTGAGTGCGTGTGTGTGCATGTGTGTCGCACTTGCCATCAGCTAGCCGCAGAGGTTTTCCGCCTGCGCTCCCTGGAAACTGAGTGGAGTACCGTAACCCTCAGACGGTGCGCTGTGGGGCGCTACATCCGCGAGAGTGCCTCACAGACGTGTTACAACAGCATCAGTTCAACTCCACAGCATCTCTGAGAGTCGACACAATAAACACCAGCCACAGACACTGCTGTGTCTCACTCCAAAGGTACTCACCCAATGACGGTGACCATTGTTACTTGCGTGTGTCTTCTATTTAAAAAATGTGAATAATGCCATCATCGTACCATCATAACCATTGTACCTGAACAAGACAGTTGATGAAACAACACAGTGCTTGTACATGTGTGGTGTACCATACCGACAAAATGAAGAATTAGACACATGTGAAACATTTGGATATCTTTTCTGTAGACGTTTCGCCAACCATTGGGTTTATCAGTACAAATTCATCGATAATATCTTCGTCTGCTGCATCTCTCTCACCTGACACCAGTATATAAACACCAGTCTTCCTGCCTGTGCCTCAGAGTCTTCACGACTACGGTGCTCTTCACACCAACTCCAAGGCTGAGGGACTGATTACCTCACCTTTTAGCTCTACAGTCTTCCCACTATGTCTTTAAATTTGTACTGATAAAGCCACTGGATAACGTAACGTCTATAAATAAAGACTCCCAGATGTTGCACATGTGTCTAATTCATCAAACTGAGTCTTCTGGTTCATGACAGTATCGACAGAAACTTAAATAGGACAAATATTAACGTTAGGAATCCTGTATACAGGCGCTAGTTCAACAAATCAGGCTGTGAAGGCTAGTAGATGGATAAATAGATTTTTGCAGAGTTCCATCATCTAGTATTTCACATTAGTGGCTTTTTTTTGTGCCTTTCAGTGTTGTTATTTACAGGGAAACTACGTTATTTTTGTACCATATAGAAAAAAATGTACTTGCGTGATTATGGTCCCTAATATAAGAGCGAAGAATCCTTCCCTTTCTGTCTTATTTCAAGAACACTAATTAAGTAGTTCGCCTTAGCTAACACAGTGCACTCAAGCTTAACTCACAAGTAAGGATGACCATGGCTGTCCTGAAGGAGTACTCAGCTACAAGCTTGGTTCTGGGCGACCTGAAGCTCCTCGTCACCGTGGGAATGAGAATCTCGTAAGGTACATACATCTGTAGTGGATACGTCAGATACACAGCGATAGCCATTAGCAACTTCACTGCTTCGGCAAGCCTGTACTGACGGTAGGTAGGCAGGCAGGCAGGCAAGCAGGCAAGCAGGCAGGCAGGCAGGCAAGCAGGCAGGCAGACAGGCAGGCAGGCAGGCAGACAGGCAGGCAGGCAGGCAGGCAGATAAACAGGCAGGCAGCAAGCAGGTAGGCAGACAGGTAGACAGAAGGGGGTAAAAACAGAGAAAGAGTTGGCCTTCAACCTGTGCCGGAGTCTTGGAAGAATAGTAAAGTTATACCTTAAACAAGAATTAACTGCCACCTCTAACTAACGTAACTCTAACTAATTGTTAACTTCGTTTACAGTACTAGTTGTTTTAATGGACTGCGTTATTATATACTAGAACGCAAAAAATAAAGATGGGAATTTGAAGACAGATTTTTACCATAAATGTACAAGAAATGTCGAAATATTCACAAAAAATTCCCCGATAAGTTCACTAAATTTGTCTTGTGTGAATATTAAAATGGTTATCATCAGAACCATAGTTTATAAAGTGGGGGAAGGGTAAGCCAGTGGAAGGCCTCGGACAAATGACCAAAAGCTCCAGGTGTGGGTCATCATATGACTAAGACCAGCGTCAGGAAACACTGTCCTGTTTCCTGACTAATATTTAACTTAACCTAACCTAACATACTTGCCAACCTGCTTAACTACTACTACTGCTATAACTATTATTACTACTAGTTAAACTAGTAGCAGTAATAATAGCTATAACTACTACTGCTATAACTACTACTGCCTTAATTACTACTGCTATAACTACTACTAGTTAAACTAGTAGTAGTAATAATAGATATGACTACTACTGCTATAACTACTACCGCTATAATTACTACTGCTATGACTACTACTATAACTACTACTGCCATAATTACTACTGCTATAACTACTACTGCCATAACTACTACTGCTATAACTACTACTGCTGTAATTACTACTGCTATAACTACTACTGCCATAATTACTACTGCTATAACTACTACTGCCATAATTACTACTGCTATAACTACTACTGCCTTAATTACTACTGCTATAACTACTTCTGCTATAATTACTACTGCTATAACTACTACTGCCATAATTACTACTGCTATAACTACTACTGCCTTAATTACTACTGCTATAACTACTACTGCCATAATTACTACTGCTATAACTACTACTGCTATAACTACTACTGCTATAATTACTACTGCTATAACTACTACTGCCATAATTACTACTGCTATAACTACTACTGCCATAATTACTACTGCTATAACTACTACTGCCATAATTACTACTGCTATAACTACTACTGCTATAACTACTACTGCCATAATTACTACTGCTATAACTACTACTGCATAATTACTACTGCTATAACTACTACTGCCTTAATTACTACTGCTATAACTACTACTGCCATAATTACTACTGCTATAACTACTACTGCTATAATACTACTGCTATAATACTACTGCTATAACTAACTACTGCCATAATTACTACTGCTATAACTACTACTGCCTTAATTACTACTGCTATAACTACTACTGCCATAATTACTACTGCTATAACTACTACTGCTATAACTACTACTGCTATAATTACTACTGCTATAACTACTACTGCCATAATTACTACTGCTATAACTACTACTGCCATAATTACTACTGCTATAACTACTACTGCCATAATTACTACTGCTATAACTACTACTGCCATAATTACTACTGCTATAACTACTACTGCCTATAATTATACTGCTATAATACTACTGCATAATTACTACTGCTATAATACTACTGCTATAACTACTATGCATAATAACTACTGCTATAACTACTACCCATAATTACTACTGTATAACTACTACTGCCATAATTACTACTGCTTAACTTACTCTGCCATAATTACTACTGCTCTAACTACTACTGCTAAAATTACTGACTAATAAAACTAACTGCATAATCACTACTGATAACTACTAACTCCATAATACTACTGCATAACTACTACGCCTAATACACTGCTCTAACTAACTGTATAATTACTACTAATATAATACTACTGCTATAATCATACTGCTATAACTACTACTGCATAATTATTACTGCTGTAAAACTACTGCCATAATTACTACGCTATAACTTTAATATGCCATAATTACTACTGCTATAACTATACTGCCATAATTACTACGGCTATAACTACGTATCATGCCATAATTATACTGCTATACAGTACTCGCCGTTAATTCTACGATATAACTACTAGTGCTATAACTACTGCTATAATACACTACTACTACTACTACTACACTACTGACTACCACTGTACAACATTACTATTATAGCTGCTACTGCTACTTTAAAAACTGACATGAAACTAATTGAAATAAAATATAATGAATAGGATAATAATAATATATAATATAATAATAATAATAATGATACAGCAGAAGAGACACAAAAGAAGAGGGAAAACTCTTAAGTTACATAAAAGAATCCATTGGTTAACATGATCAGTTAATGGTCACTTATGGGTCACCCCGGCAGGTTAGGGACGGTGATCGACCCTGGATAGGTGTCTGCGTAACGAAGGTAACCAAGAAGCCGAACCAGGTTCAGGCACACCACGATCACATGGCGGTGTCAGCAACGGTGAACCCGGATACACCCTGGGGTTTCCATTGTTCTCCAACGGAGACCTTTGAGGGAATAAACAAAATGGACAAGGCTTTAAGATAACTGAGGTACTTGTGGTAGTCACAGAACTCTCGGCTCATAAATGATGGGATCCAGGTTCAATGGGATCCAGGTTCAATGGGATCCAGGTTCAATGGGATCCAGGTTCAATGGGATCCAGGTTTAATGGGATCCAGGTTCAATGGGATCCAGGTTCAATGGGATCCAGGTTCAATGGGATCCAGGTTCAATGGGATCCAGGTTTAATGGGATCCAGGTTTAATGGGATACAGGTTCAATGGGATCCAGGTTCGATTTCCAGGCTAGGGAATTAGGTACCTGGGTGGGAACTGACTATTAAGTAAGTTTATTTAGGCACAGGTACACATACGTACAATTATCATACATAGTAACACGTGTAAATTACCCAACACGATAATAATAATAATAATAATAATAATAATAATAATAATAATAATAAAATAATAATAATAATAATAATAATAATAATAATAAAAATAATAATAATAATAATAATAATAATAATAATATAATAAATAATAATAATAATAATAATAATAATAAAATAATAATAATAATAATAATAATAATAATAATAATATGATCACTCTACCAGTAATGTACAAGGTATACAGACCTAGTAACATCAGTGACATACTACTATATTAGATCGACACCATGCCCAGCCCTTTAGGGTAGGGTAGGTGCTGAGCACCGAGCCTTTAGCTCAAAGCTGTCATTCCCATTAGCCCCTTGGGCGGGGATGCAGACAGACAGGCCTAGCTTATGGCTAGGCCTGGGACAGTTGGTTCCCAAAGATGAGGAGGTACTTGTGCCTCCTCCCATGGCAGACTTAGGTCTCAGACACTCACTAAAGAGGGAGCCAAGGCCGGGCCACCACTTGGAAAAGGCCCGGGCCGGGAGAATACCCGCGAAGCTTTAATAATAATAATAATATATATATCCCTTCTTATGCTGAGCATTTCCCGTAAATTAGGTCAGTGTCCCAGGATGCGACCCACACCAGTCGACTAACACCCAGGTACCTACTTACTGCTAGGTGAACAGGGAAAATAGATGCCTTACGGAAATACAAGAAAGTCAGTCAAAATGACTTATTTCCATTACCAGCTTAAGTTTTACCGGAGACGGTGAGGGTAATGTGACCATTATAAAACTGTTGCTGCACCATACACACACATATATACCACTCCTGTGCCTAATATTTGTACAAATGAAGATTTTTTTAATCCTGGTTTTAGTAGTGTGACGTCTTCTTAAATATTAAAGTTAATCCTTAAAAATAAAAAAGAAAATCAAACTCTTTGAAAGAAAACGATAAAATTATTGGCATAACTTAACAAAAATTAATTTTGCGATATCTTGCATTGAAATATGAGGAACAATTCATTACTATTAGTATTTCTCAATTCAGTGAATATTTAATAATTATTGCATAGGAAGAAGGAGGAGCAATCATGTTAAATTCAATGAATTTATAAAATAATTGCTACTGTGAGTTAAGATAAATGTTGGAGCTGAGACCAGGACCAGTTATGTCTCTGTTGACAACCTCCTACAGGATGGGTATGGTGTGACACTCTCCCACAGGATGGGTATGGTGTGACACTCTCCCACAGGATGGGTATGGTGTGACACTCACCCACAGATGGTATGTGTTGACACTATCCCACAGGGTGGGTATGGTGTGACACTCTCCCACAGGATGGGTATGGTGTGACACTCTCCCACAGGATGGGTATGGTGTGACACTCTCCCACAGGATGGGTATGGTGTGACACTCTCCCACAGGATGGGTATGGTGTGACACTCCCCCACGGGGGATGGGTAAGGTGTGGGACACTTTCCCACAGGATGGGTATGGGTGACACTCTCCCACAGGATGGGTATGGTGTGACACTCTCCCACAGGATGGGTATGGTGTGACACTCTCCCACAGGATGGGTATGGTGTGACACTCTCCCACAGATGGGTATGGTGTGACACTCTCCCATAGGATGGGTATGGTGTGACACTCTCCACAGGATGGGTATGGTGTGACACTCTCCCACAGGATGGGTATGGTGTGACACTATCCCACAGGGGGGTATGGTTGTGACACTCTCCCACAGGAGGGGTATGGTGTGACACTCTCCCACAGGATGGGTATGGTGTGACACTATCCCACAGGATGGGTATGGTGTGACACTCTCCCACAGGATGGGTATGGTGTGACACTCTCCCACAGGATGGGAAATGGTGTGACACTTTTCCCACAGGTGGGTATGGTGTGACACTCTCCCACAGGATGGGTATGGTGTGACACTCTCCCACAGGATGGGTATGGTGTGACACTCTCCCACAGGATGGGTATGGTGTGACACCTCCCACAGGATGGGTATGGTGTGACACTCTCCCACAGGATGGGTATGGTGTGACATCTCCCACAGGAGTAGGGATGGTATGGTGTGACACTCTCCCACAGGATGAGTTTGGTGTGACACTCTCCCACAGGATGGGTATGGTGTGACACTCTCCCACAGGATGGGTATGGTGTGACACTCTCCCACAGGA